TATTTTCTCATTCTTCTATTCGCTGAGTGGCTTGGGTTGTCCTATCAGATTTTGTATACTGCGTGACAATTGTGCTTATCTGTGTTAGTCTCATAGGTACAAGTCCTTGAGAGGAGATCTTCTACTTAGTTGACCTTTGTTTTTATTCACTCTTGGTGTCATGTGCTTAACCAAGTTCTCAGTAAGTGTGTGAAATATTAATGCACATCATGCTCATGGGCCAGGAAAAATAATGTCTTAACAAATCTGGCAAAACTTTTTTACAGCCATGTTTTCTACAAAATAATCATTGTGTGAGACAATGTACTTACGCTGATAAAAGCTATTATCTAATATATTTGGATCTTGTGCTTTATAATTGGTTCATTATAGTTCTAGCCTGGGAAGCTAAAAGAATATATATTCTCCATGACAGATCTTTATCTTTAAGGGTAAGTCTCACTTTCTGAAACAGTTTAAAGTCATTTGAAAAAGTGAAGAATAAAGCAGCTAGTAATGAGTTACGTTTTCTGTGTCAACAGTTCTAATGACAATTCCAAAAAGTTAGGTAAAGATATTTTACAGTGTGTTATTCTTCTTAGAATACTTTCTGTGTATTCAATAATCTCTGACACTGTGCATTTCTATGTTCTCTATTAGTTCCCCAATCCATTTTGAAGGCCCATCAAGGAATAAAAATGCAGCAACTTTGGTTTACCCCTTCAGGTGTCCACAGGCTGATGGAGAAAATATTTTGGCTCATGTTTAATCTCCCAATTTTTGGCCATTTGCCTGTAAAGATTGAAAAAAGAAAATTGCTGAATTATTTGTAAAAATGGTTTATGAGCCTGAGCTAAAAAAGCAACCTAGAGAGTTTGTAGTCTTATGTCTGGTGCAAAACTCCTACAGTCCCTTCCTGCATATTTTTTCTTGGGCCCCCTACATTGACAGTCTCAGTAGACCCCAGGTCTGTCATTTTCCATTCCAAAACAAGCACTGCTAGTGGGACAGTTACTATTATTAACTCCATTCCTTGATGGGCCAGGTAAAAGTAGGTTTTAATTATTTGAATTAGGGTCAATGACCCCAACCCTAACCTTAACCCCAGCCAATTTTGCCACTCTCTAATCTCCTGTCTCAAGTCAAAAGTTCACGTCTGGGCAATTTAGCAAGACTCTGTCTCAAAAACATAAGGCTGGGGATATAATTCAGTGGTGGAGCAGCCTTGGGTTTGAACTCCAGTATTGCAAAACAAAACAAAAGAACATAACAAAAAATCCTTCCCAAACACCACCCCCCCCCAACAAACTAAATCAAACCAAACCATCAAGCATGAAGTCAAAGTTACCTTTACCATAAGCTGTGTTGTTCATCCAGTATGGTGATATTATAGACAGATGAGTTAGGTTGAAATATTATAGGCAGTCAGATAGGGCTAGGTCCTTGAGAAGGTCAGGACAAAGGTGAAACACACCACAATGGTGACTGGAGACACATCGACTGAAATCCAGGCCTCAAGATAAAGACAAGATTACCAGACCTACATACTTCCTCAAAGAACAAACACTGCGTCTAATGAAGTCTAGATAGACATCAATCAACCCAGATGGTGACCAGACACCTCTGGATCCACCACTTCCTAGGAGAATCTTTGTTCTTCCCATACACATTTGTTACATGACTTGTTTCCCAATTGGACCACTAATACCTAAGTGACTATATTTGTAACCTTATTGGATGAGCATGGCTGTGGCCCACGTTGTACCCACGTGGATTTCACCCTATAAAACTCTTTTATAAAGTGGGGTCCTGGCTACCCACTTGGGACCCCTCCTGCCCTTCAGGAGTGTTCCTATCAATAAATATCTTCCTACTCTTAACCTCTGTTGTTCTTGGGACTCATTCTTCAATTTCTAGAGAACAAGAACTCGGCATATCATACAGTTAACAGGTTGGGAGATACAAATTTTTCATATTTCATCTCTGCTATTATTTCCCGTAACAGTAGCTACCAACCACACATGGTCATCAAAAACTTGAAATTGGACTGATGTTCCCATCGTACATTGTTCCCATTGCATATTGTACATCATACATGTACGTTGTACATGTTCCCATTGTACACTGAAACAATGTACAAGTGTTGTGACGGTGCCAGCCGTCACTAGTCGAACAATACCTGAGAGGAGGGGAGAGGATGAAAGAAAAAGAAAACCTCTGAGGAAAAGAAAAAAGAGAGAGGCGGAGGAGAGACCCCTCTTCCCACTTTATTGCCCTTTATATACCTTTTCCACAACCCCCAGCCCCTCCTCAGCACATAATTCGGGCGACTAATTATTTTCCATGGAAAAGGTCAAATGTATCTTTACAACTCCGGGAATAACATTCCCTTGCATTACAGACATTCGAACTCTTTCTATTTAACCACTCTCGTTACAAGTAACCATCCTTGTTTTTGTGCCAGCTGCATATCCAGGATTCATTATGTTCTCAAGAGACTCAGAGGTCTCTCAAGGTTATTTCAACCTTTCGCTCTCCACAAAGTGTAAAATACACACTAGATTTTGAGGCTCTACTATTTTAAAAAAAAGAATGTAAACTATCTTGTTTTTAAAAATATTTACTATATGTGGAGCTGATATTATTTTGATACATTGAGTTAGAATATATTAAAATTAATATCACCTGTTTCTTTTTTTTTCTTCAATGTGACCACTAAAAAATTTATGTATGTAACTCACATTTTGTTTTGTTTTCTAACACTGACTTTCAGCATAAAGTGGCTTTTAAAATAATTCTATACTATGGCTTCGAAGGACATGAAGGAAATTTTTTGTCTTGCTTTTAGGTTTTGCACAATTTCCTCAATATGGTTCACAAGGGATCAGAAGAAGGATTTCTTATATTTCTGCCTCTCAGTTCCACCATTACCAGGATGTTGGGGGCAGAATCCTGGGTGGCTGGCTATTTTTACGGCTTGAGGTCTGGATTAGAGATTTGCATATAAATAGATGTGATTTGATTGATTCAACATGAATGCTTGTATTAGAATACTGAATCACAGGAATCAAACTTACACACCAGTGTGTGTGGTGATTTATAGTGAAGAGAAGACCACTGAGCTTGTAATCAAGACCCCACCCAGGTGTGATCCTGGAGGATATGAACACTTAGCTGAGTTCCAATGAGGAGGGGACTCACTGCACATAGAATCAGGGCAAAGTGACATGTTCTTCCTTTTTTTCTTTAAAATATCAGTATGATGAAGGTGCTTCAGTTGTTTGCATACTGTCAATACTTTCTCACAATTCCCATACCAGAATTCACCCAGAAGGAGGCCAGTCTAAAGTGGTTTTCTGCTGCTAATTCATCCATCCCTAACCTCATTAGGCTGTTAATTCCCAGAGGGCATAAACAGTAGTAGGCAGTGTTCTCAAATGTTAAATGTTATTCAGGGAAAGCACGGGATCATTCTTAGTCTAAAAGAATATGCTTTGTTTTTCAAACATTATTGAACTCAATTTGTATAACCCTTCTTTACTTTACCACAATCTGAACCTGATACCTTTAACATCTATTTTCATGCAGATATATATTTGAACAAGAATTTTGGGTAAGTTTTAATACTTTCCTAAATCTAAGCACATAATTATACTAAATATATAAGTAGAACGTTTATTCTGCCTTTTGTCTCAAGGGAAAAATGCAATTTCCTAGAGCTGACATAAAAATATGAAGTAGCAAACTTTAAACTAGCAAATAAAACTTTAGAATAGACTACAGATAGCTAGGTTTCAGAGGGGATAAGAGGTGATACTGCATTCATCAACCACAGATGGTATAACTTACATGTTTTAGTACATTCCCTGTCTTTCTGTTAAAAAATTTGTAGGTTTTTTCCTATCGCAAAGCTGTGGTTCACCTAAGTAAAACGTTTGTTTTATTAAAGTCAACTGTTTTATTTCATCTTTGGGTTCCCAGTTATAGAGGGTTCTTCTCTACCGTGAAATAAGTAAGGTATTGTTACTGGCGTAGCCTAGAATTTTCCTGGACTGAAATTCATCTGTATATTGCAGGGATTTTATATATTTTATACACAAAAGACATTTTATATAAACAAATAAATGAATGAAGGCATGTATGCGTGTTGTCTTTGAAAGCAGATCATCTGAATGTCCGTATCTGCCAAGTCTATTGGGGGCAGCTTGAGTCTACTAGGCAGGCTTACGGAGCCTCTTTTCTCCTTTATTACCTCTATTCTCCAGAGCAGACCCCCTGCCTGCACAACTCCAAGGGGATCCTGAGAGTTTTATAAACGCAGCCCAATTTCTTGCCTTTGGAGAGGTGAAAAGGATGCCCCGCCCCCGCCTATGAAAAGAGGGATTTGATAGTTTCAATGCCTTTAAATCAAAGGTTGAAGTCCCTAATCCTCCACCACCCAGGAGCCCTACTCCAAGGCTTACTACCCCCTTTCCTCACACTCTCAGTGCTCTGGACTGGCCCTGGAATTCCTTGTCCCACTCCACAGTTACTGTGGCTCTCTACGAAGAAGTCACCAGTACCTGTGTTACTTCCCTTGCGAAGAAACAAAATTATCCTGAAAATTCTAGTGGAAATCATTTCATTTTTGTCCCTAAATTAAGGGAAGGATGTGCCTAACCACTCCTGAGAAAAAGAACTTTGACAGGCAAAGGAGCGACCAGGTAATTTAGAAGAAAAACAGAAAGTGGTCTCTCACGGCCATGAACTTCCTTTAGAGTTGGGGGATTTGGGGACGCCTTAACGAGTTGTCTTTGAGGTTGTGGGGAAAAGAAATGAACAGTACGAAGCTTGAGGCTTCAGGGATCCTTTCCTGATCAAATTCAGGTGATTTGGTGCGGGGCATTTTAATATTTTCTCTCTTTTGTGAGGTATAACAAACACAACTCGGGCGTAGCGCAGCGGCTTAGAGCCTGCCAGCCAGGCGGGTGGCGGGCGCACCAATCAGCGTACTCCTGCGCTCTATATATACAGCTTCGGAGGCGCCTCCCAAGCACCGCGTCCTGGAACCTCACGATGTCCGAGATCGCTCCTGCTGCTGCACCGGCCGCCGCGCCTCCGGCGGAGAAGGCTCCCGCCAAGAAAAAAGCTGCTAAGAAACCTGCGGGGGCGCGGCGCAAGACGACCGGGCCTCCGGTGTCCGAGCTGATCACCAAGGCCGTGGCCGCCTCCAAGGAGCGCAGCGGGGTGTCGTTGGCCGCGCTCAAGAAGGCGTTGGCGGCCGCTGGCTACGACGTGGAGAAGAACAACAGCCGCATCAAGCTGGGGCTCAAGAGCCTGGTGAGCAAAGGCACCCTGGTGCAGACCAAGGGAACTGGCGCTTCCGGCTCCTTCAAGCTCAACAAGAAGGCTTCTGGGGAGGCCAAGCCCAAAGCCAAGAAGGCGGGCGCGGCCAAGCCCAAGAAGCCCGCGGGGGCCGCCAAGAAACCCAAGAAGGCTGTGGGCGCGGCAGCCCCCAAGAAGAGTGCCAGGAAGACCCCCAAGAAGGCGAAGAAGCCCGCCGCGGCTGCTGGCGCCAAGAAGGTTGCCAAGAGCCCCAAGAAGGCGAAGGTTGCCAAGCCTAAGAAGGTCAAGAGCACCTCCAAGGCTGTGAAACCCAAAGCTGCCAAGCCCAAGGTTGTCAAGCCTAAAAAGGCGGCGCCCAAGAAGAAGTAGGCTGTTCTTGTGCAGTTCGGTGGCTACTTCAACCCCAAAGGCTCTTTTCAGAGCCACCACTGATCTCGGGAGAAAGCGCTGACACTTGTTTACTCCTCGTGCTGCTGGGGCGTGTCCGCCGGTTCTGGGACTGCTCTGCGCTTTCTCGTCCCTTCCCTCGGCGTTCTGCCCAGCGGCCGGGACGGAGACCTTTTCCGCGGTGGTGGACTTTGGCCGCCAGCCCCATCCTACGCTGAACTGCGAGAATAGTTTCCGTGTCGGGTGTTCATCTGGATTGGACTAAAGGGGATTCGAAAGTCCCGCCCTGCGCCTGGGTTGGCCCACGCGTCCTCCGAGGTATTCCCCGGTGTCTCTGGGCGGAAGCCAGCGGTAGTCCTTTTACTAAAGTTTGCAGCAGCCAGTAGTGGGGCAAAATCCTCAGAACTGGCCTTGCCGACTTTGTGAGGAGGGTAAGAACCTGCAGCCACACCCTGCGTTTTTCTGCAGGAAGGAGCGATTCAAATGATCGCGGTGACAGAGGCCTTGCATTCCCCGGGAGTGAGGGTGTGGGGGATTGGGGGCCTAGGCCAAGGGTTCCGGTGTTTTGAGCCGGGTCCCCAGATATGAGGAACTGGGTGCCGCGAACGTAGCTTTAGTTACTTTCTGGGTGACGAACATTGGTCTTCCACTTAAATTTGGGTCTTAAAGTTCGAGGTTTTTTAATACTGATTTGTGCATCTAAACATTTCTATGCAAAGCAGAACAAAGTGTTAACTGCGCAGACGAGATTTCTATTTCCAATAAAAGGCTTTAGTTTTCATTAGGATTAGTTTTTTTTTCTTGCTTTCTTTCATAACCGCGGAATTTCTCCTGGACCCAGAAGTTCTGGCTCCTGTTTATTTCTGTTGAATACAGATTTCGATGAAATGTAAATTACAAGAACTACAGTTTCAGGAGACCTAAGGCACAGTTTCCACAAGGGTAATCTAGTGTGCGTTCCCCTTGGAGTTAAGCGCTAGGAAGAAAAAGGGAGGAGGGGAGAAAATTCTAGGATTTCTTCCAGTAATTTTGAGGTGTCCCCCCCACCCCCACGCAGTACTGGAGATTGAACTCAAGGCCTTTGCTCTAACCACATCTCCAATCCTTTTTAATTATTTAGACAGGAGCTCATTAAATTCGCTAAAGGATCAGAGCTGGATCCTGTCTTGGAATCTTCCTGCCTCAGCCTCCCAGAGTGCTAGTATTACAGGCTTGTGCCACCCCTCCTGGCTTTGTGTTGATAATTTTACATCAACATTAAATAATTGAGCTCTCTGAAGTCTGAATACGTACATGGCCCTATTCACATCTATTAAGACCATTTATGAGTGCTCATTCTGCATCTCCTTCCTAATTTGGATTTCACTTACATCTTAGTCTAAATTCCCTCTAGACTAAGTCTTGGATTTCTTTTATTCCTTTGGTCTTTTTGGCCATTTCTAAGGTAGGATCAAGCATATGTAAATATTGTTCACAGCCCTCTCCTTAATGCTCAGGATACTTGACATAATAGGTACTCATACTAATTGATATCATGGTATGACCAATAGCCAATAGGTGTGAAATTCTTCTCATTGCGTCCTCCAGCCTCCCTGCATTACTCATTAAAATCCATTGATTGTTTTAATAGGATTTTGTTAAATTTATAGATTAGTTTGTGAGGATTGAGTTTTCTTATTGAAGTTTGAGATTTTTTTTTTTCCTGGTACTGGGAATTAAATCCAGGACCACTGCACTGAGGTACACTCCCTGACCTCCCCCTTCCCCTGCTTCTTTTTGAGACACAGTCTCCGGGATTTGCCCAGGCTGGGCTCTTGACTGGTGAGCCTCCTCCCTTAGCCTCCAAGGGTGCTGTGATCACAGGTTTGGCCACCATGCTGGGCACTTTAGCATTCCTTGCTGCCTCTTTTCCTACTTCATCTTTGTTGCTGTTGGGAATGGCCAACATATATGTTAAATTCCTTGAGGGCCATTTCATAAAGCACACATTAATGCTACTTAGTTATTGAAGAGGTTCCTGCAAATGAATTAGTTGTAGAACAGTTCTGTCTGTTGCCAGAAAGATGAGCATGAAAGCAAGCCACATATGTAGTTTAAAACTTCCTAAAAGCAATGTATACAAGGAAAAAAGAAGTAGGTCAATCTGTTTTAATTGTATGCTTTATTTACCTCCATATAGCTAAAATATTATCAGCCACCATAAAATGAATATAAAAGTATTTGTGAGATATCCTGCATTTTTTTTTTTTTATACTAAGTCTTTGCAGTCTGCCATGCGTTTTTGTTTTTTGGTATTGGGATCAAACTCTGGTCTTTGCGCTTGCAGGGTAGGTGGCAGAACCACTGAGCTAAATCCCCAGCCCCTCCATGTGTTTTTATGTGATACATCTCAGTTCTAGGAGCCCATGGCCAGCGTTCAGCCATTTGTGGCTTAAAGAGACAAAGTGGACAGTGCAGCTCTAGAATGCCCTCTGGTGTCATCTTGGCCTTTTCTGGTCTCAACTTAGTTTCAACTAACAGTATTTTCTAATATATACCATCGTCTGTGTACTAAAATTTTGAAGGCAGAATATCTGACCTTAAACAATAGATTGATCCAGAAGTCATGGGCCAATTTTAGCCAATCAATAATTTTGCATTCAGAAACTGGAATTGAATTTTAGAAACAGATGACCTGATGTCTGGGCCTGGGGGTGGCTTTTCTTATACCACAAACAAGAAACCAAGACACCCGCTGGGCGGGAAGAGTAGAACAGAACAGAACTGCAGGGACAGGAATGGGTGAGAGATGTATGGAGCCATACTGCCTGGCTTCTTGTCATCTCAGTTCCTGAGTCTCTGAACCATCTGAATGCCTGCCACTGAGCCACCTTCCTTAGCTCAGGTTGAATCAAATTGCAGCAACAGGAGAACTATAACAATGGAAAGGTTGCTTGGGAGGCAAGGAATGATGTGTTTGGGGCAAGTGAGTAGGAAGTATATGGACAAAGCTAATGGAAAGTTAGACTTATTTTAGTAAGGATTGTTTATGAAGGCTCGTCTCAGTACCACCTCCCTATCTGCACTGCTAAGAGTTGCTCTTTTCCTCTAGAGAATATCTCATTCTGGAAACTTAATGCTGCCTTTACAAGGTGTAATTTATGCCCTACTTTTAGTTAGGTGAGAGGAAAACAGAATTCTCCTGTCGATGTTAAATTGCCCTCAGCTCAAAATAATTTTTATGTCAATATAGCATGTTTAATGGTAACATTTTGATTCCCTTCAAAATTTATGATATGTATTATTAATATTATCATTTCAACTTTTTGTCTAGGTTTATAAATAAATATTGACAAATAGCGATATTATATTCATATAATTCCCCAAGCACTGGTGTTTAGCAAAAAAAAATCAATGACTTTTTCAAAAACTAACTTGCTGACTGACTCAACCATGAAAATTTAAGAAATTGTCCAGGTAGATAGAAGTGTGAGTAACAGAAATTACATCTACTTGTAATACATTAATGCACATTTTCATATGTAGTGATCTAATGACTGAAAAAATAAATACCCTGTTACTTCCCTAGATAAAATTTCAAGCATGGGCTATGTACACCTGAGGGCAAGGTAGACAGTGTCTGTGCTTGAAATCCATGCCAGAGGTGAACTTGCTCCCTGTTGAAAGGATTGCATCATTTCAGAAAACAGTATTAAGTGGCAGCAACACCCCTGAGAACTAGCAATTTCTTTTTTTTTCATTTTGTTTTGAGACAGAGTCTCACTATGTAGTGGAGGGTGATTTTGGACTTAGTAAGTAGCTCAGGCTGGCCTTGAACTTTCAGTGATCCTCCTGCCTCATCCTCCCCAGTGAGTACTGGGATAATAGTTGTGCACCACCATCCCCAGCTAAGAACTAGTAATTTCTTAGTATTTATTTACATAAAGCACATCAAGTGCTGTTGCTGATTGCATTTGTTTTGAACACATTCTTATTGCTGCACTTTGAGGTAGGTGCCATTATTACTCCCACTTTTAGAATTGAAGAACTGAGGCTTTGTTACAGGCGACTGGCTGGAGACCAGACCAGTGAGTTCAGAAAATGTTGAGTGTAATTCTGTTTCTATTTCCATGATACCAGGGTCAGGGCCTGGTGGTGGCCTTTGTCACTTTCAGCATGAGGAAGCTGAACAAAAGGCTTAACTTTCAAATTCCATTTCAATGTCTTATTTACAGCTTCTGGTCTGTGAGCATTGCAGACACCTACAAGTGCCTCAGAAATTTGAAAGGCACATATTTAACATCTTCTAGTGCCGTATTAAAGTAAAAACAAAGAACTACAATTATTTTAATATGTTCATGAGTATTATTTCAATAAGTAGTGTAAAAATATTAATATTTTTTGTGTGCTAAGTCTTTGAAATCTGGTAAGCATTTTATATTTAAAGCACATCTCAATTTGGATTAGCCGCATTCCAAGTGCTTCATAGCCACATATGACGAGTGGCTGCTACCAACACAGCTCTTAAACTAATGGTAAAAACACAAATACAGAGTTCACTCACACACACACACACACACACACACAGACACATATGCACATTTCAGGAAAAGAAAAATAGTATGATTTTTTTCAATAGATAGTGTTACCCTCGTATGGGTAGACATCCTAGAGGATGTCTTATATCACAGAAAACCCACTACACTGCTGGCCCTTAGAGAAGAAATTGAAAATACATGTGCAGCAATATCAATGACCAAGCTAACCCAAGTAGCAGTTTGCCACACTACTGCTAATGTCTGGAAGCTAATGGCCACCACTTTGACCACCTCTTGTAATTGTATTTTGTATTAATTTCATGATGTCTCAATAAACTTAGTATTAAAATATTTTTTCAAGTTTTCCTTTTTGTGAAGTGTGTATACATTTTTTTTTGGTGGACTCTGTACTTGCTCTGGGGCAGACTCTAGATGTTTTCAAGGAAACAATAATTCTGTCCTGGTCCTAAAATGTAGCCTAAGGCCTGATGTCCCTTTGAAGTGATACTATTACTATACGTACTGAATTCGTGGTCTCACAAGGCCCAGGAATAAAGTCATGAACCTAAAGGAGGAAATTAGGAGAGTTTTTGTTGGAAATAATAAGAATAGCTCCTGGATTTCCAGGAGAAGTCTCAAGCCTGTAGCTGCATAGCTTCTTGATAGAGAGCTAATTATAGCTAAGCAGAGCACAGGAACTGCTCCACTGTTTCGTGGCCACCTATCATATGTGACTCTGGAGTTAAAATGATCAGTTGGAACTGAGACTCTCTAACCCAGCTTTTCAACAAGCAGGGTTTAAAGGAAACTGGGATTTTAGAGAGAAATCCTAGTTATTTGGCATTTAAAATTTCTCAGAACTCAGTAGCTAAACAGGGAGTGGCTGCACCTCCCTTTAGTAGGGAGGGGGCTGCATTCCGTGATGCCTGAGGAAGTTCATTGAAAAAAATTTAAAAATTCTATTAATAGTACTTTTGCAGTACATAATGTTTACATTCCTTGTGGGAAGAAGGTACATGTACATAACACATTTTAATTCCTTTTTTCATCCCCTTTCCCTTCTCCTTTTCCTTCATCCATCACCTTACTTTATTTATTTATTTTTGTACATGTTTGCAGTACATAATGTTTATTTACATTCATTGCATTTTAAATTTGTCAAATTTCAGGAGCTTAGTGGGGAGTAGCTGCATCTTCCTTTAGCAGGAAGGGGGCTACATTTCGTATTGCCTGAGGAAGTTCATTCTTGATCCAAAGTCCTACTTTACTATCCTTATTTTAATTCTTATCAATATGGCTGGCCACCCAACTTTTCTCTCAGGCTTTTCCCCTAGCTAGCTGTCTTACTCATAAACTAATTAAATAAACTATTTGCTACAACACTACCCACTTCAACTCACACCAGATCTCTGACCAGCTGACTCTGGTGACAGAATGTAGCCCAGGCCAGGCTAACCACAGCCCCTCCACATCTACCCTGCGGTAGCCCTGTTTCTGAAACAATTACCTTTGAGGAAGAAACTATATCTGATAATTCGCTTTGGGGTAAATTTATTAATCAGAAAATATTAAGGGTGTGGGCTTGATGAAACTGCCTGGCTAGTAGTGAGAATTTGAGCAATTTATTGAAATCTCTTAGGCTAAAGTTCCTCTGTAAATTGAGAGGCAGAGAGCCTTGTAACTAGCCAGGCACTTCATGTAGCACTTGATCCATAGGCAGCCTCTAGGAAGCTGTTGTCATTTCCTTCCATGAAAACCTCTGTAAAAGAGGATGATATTCAGTACTGAATGGATCTATAAAACTTTCCAAACTGACCTTAGCACTGAACATGTTACGTTTAAATTGCTTACAGTTGCCTTTAAATCCACAATACCCCCCCCGCCCCCATCCTTCTGAGAATGGTACCATTATCCAAAGTGTCCTAACTTGGAGGCCTGGAAGTCACCTACAACTTGGTGAATCTCATCTTAGGGTACTTCTGTGGAGGTATATACCACGCAATGTCAGAGACAGGCCCTATATAACTTGAAAATGACAAGGAGCAGAGGCAGATTTACTCTGAAGCTAAAACAAAGTAAAATGTCAAGTCTGTCCCACTTCTAAGGCCTAGGGTGGGCTCTAGGCTTGTACTTAATTTGTCTCAAATTTTTGCTGTGTTTTGCTTTCGGTTTAAATAGGGGATATTTTAGTCGAATTTTCCCAAATTTGAAAACAATGCTAAATAAAAACATAAAACTTGACATTACCAATTTGTTTTCAAGCAGAAACTCTTCAAAGTTATGAAAAATAAATTATGAATTAACTACCTGAAGACTAATTCTCTTCCCAAGTTACAGAGATTAAAAAGTAATTTTTTTCTGAAGATAGTCAAAAGTATAGAAACAGCATTATAATGCTATAGTAGTCAATAAAAATGCTTTCTAAATTTAGCGTTGACTTTAAAAAAAAATTTTTTTGGAATTACATTTTCCCGTTATATTCAGTGTATTTATAATTTTCTATTTTAGTTGAGCATCATGATGCAAACCTGTAATTCCAGAACTGGGGAGGCTGAAGCAGGAGGATCATTGAGTTCCAGGCAAGCCTGGGTACTGAGCTCAACTCCAGCCTGGACTACACACACAAGTCACTCTGCCTCCCTCCCCCTCAAAAAATAATAAAAACCCAATCCAAACACCAGTTTAGTTTTGTAGTTTTTAAATTGCCACACTCGAAAGGTGTTAGGCTCAAGAAGTTTTTAAAAAGAGTAGCTATTTTAATTTTAATGAGCTTGGGAAAATATTTGGATAGTGATTGATAAGCAAATAATGTCCCTACAAGTCCAGAAATCCCACCATCTAGCAGGTATTTTTAGCATGTTACGCTATTCTGAACGAAAATTTAAAAGATGGTCGATCTCAGATTAACAACTTTAGTGCAACGTTTTACAGCTGCTTTTGAAATATTGTGGGTGGCTCTTAAAAGAGCCTTTTCAATTGCAGATTGGTTTATGCCCTCTCCCCGCGAATGCGCCGGGCGAGCTGGATGTCCTTGGGCATGATGGTGACTCGCTTGGCGTGGATGGCGCACAGGTTGGTGTCCTCGAACAGCCCCACCAGGTAGGCCTCGGACGCCTCCTGCAACGCCATGACTGCAGAGCTCTGGAAGCGCAGGTCGGTCTTGAAGTCTTGCGCGATCTCACGCACCAGGCGCTGGAATGGCAGCTTGCGGATCAGCAGCTCGGTGGACTTCTGGTAGCGACGGATCTCGCGCAGGGCTACGGTGCCGGGACGGTAACGGTGGGGCTTCTTCACGCCGCCGGTAGCCGGAGCGCTCTTGCGAGCAGCTTTGGTGGCCAGCTGCTTGCGCGGGGCCTTGCCACCGGTGGACTTGCGAGCGGTTTGCTTAGTACGAGCCATCTGGACCAAAAGGCACAGTAACCGAAAGTACGAAGGTCAGTGCAAGTTGTCCTTAAATAGACTTAGGAGCACTCTGATTGGCCTTAAATTTTTCAAAAGTCCGGCGCGACAAAATCATTGGCTGAAAGGTGACCTGTGTAATTGGTTAGTTGAAAGAGAATCTGATTGGCCAGATGGCTTCAACGCCATTTTAATTGTTTGAAAAACAAATTCTGGAACTCTATTAGTGTATCCTGTCACCAAATGACATGTGCACTAGGAACCATTTTAGTATCCTATTTGTATGTGATTGCTGATTAAGTCTGAATGAGATGTGAGGTTGTAAATTAACACACCAGTTACCAGTACCGCTGACAACCAACTTTTCAAGGTATTTTTGCTATATTTTTGTCTAAATTCATTTTGGGAAACGCGCTACTTCCCCAAACATTAAGTTCCCCATCCCAACTGCCATTCCCGCTCATTTTTCCAAGTATCTTTAGTTTGGAATGATCCGGTAAACCTTAAAGTGACTAGTGAAAGCGTTTAAAAAGCCCTAGTCCTCGGCTGGGAATTTAGCTCAGTGGCACTGCGCCTGCCTTTCAAACCCGTGGTCCTGAGTTCAATCCCCGGTTAACCCCCCCCCCAGGGGGGGAAAAAAGCCTGAGTCCTTACTATAATTGTAAAAAAAAAAAAACCCACACCAGGTTTCAGGATAGGATAAAAGCTATTAGCTTTTTTGGTGAAAATGTAGTGGCTCTGAAAAGAACCTTTAGATACAAATGAGACTTTAGACTTTTGCTGTGTCATGGTTTTCACTTTCCCTTGGCCTTGTGGTGGCTCTCGATCTTCTTGGGGAGCAGCACGGCCTGGATGTTGGGCAGCACGCCGCCCTGTGCGATCGTCACCTTGCCCAGCAGCTTGTTGAGCTCCTCGTCGTTGCGGATGGCCAGCTGCAGATGGCGCGGGATGATGCGCGTCTTCTTGTTGTCGCGCGCCGCGTTGCCCGCCAGCTCCAGGATCTCAGCCGTCAGGTACTCCAGCACGGCCGCCAGGTACACTGGGGCGCCGGCGCCCACGCGCTCGGCGTAGTTGCCCTTGCGGAGCAGGCGGTGCACGCGGCCCAGGGGGAACTGCAGCCCGGCGCGGGAGGAGCGCGTCTTGGCCTTGGCGCGAGCCTTGCCGCCCTGCTTGCCGCGTCCAGACATTGCTAAATGATACAAAAACAAAGGAAATTAAAAGAAAAACCTGAAGAAAGACTCTTAGAGTTACTGCGGGCTGCGCTACTAAACCACTTCATTGGTGAAAAAGGCTGTTTTTTTGTCCAGTAGAAAAAGAGAATGTGAGTCCTTTATTTACATTAGGCCCTCCCCTTTAGTTAAAAAAAAAAAAAGAATGTCTCTTTTTTTATCCAATCAGTAGTGACGAATCTCAAATCCTTATTTGCATTACGGGGCTATAAATAAAAGGCTTCAAACCTTTTCCTCCTAGTCTCTGTTGTGTTCTTTGTGAGTGAGGTCAGTTCTTCCCGCTCTTAGTTGCAGCAATGCCAGAGCCTTCTAAGTCGGCTCCCGCCCCAAAGAAGGGCTCCAAGAAGGCTATCACTAAGGCGCAGAAAAAGGACGGTAAGAAACGCAAGCGCAGTCGCAAAGAGAGCTATTCCATTTATGTGTACAAGGTGCTCAAGCAGGTCCACCCCGACACCGGCATCTCGTCCAAGGCCATGGGTATCATGAACTCCTTCGTCAACGACATCTTCGAGCGCATCGCCGGCGAGGCGTCGCGCCTGGCGCATTATAATAAGCGCTCGACCATCACGTCGCGAGAGATCCAGACGGCCGTGCGGCTGCTGCTGCCAGGCGAGCTGGCCAAGCACGCCGTGTCTGAGGGCACCAAGGCCGTCACCAAATACACCAGCTCCAAGTAAGTGCCATTGTCGGCACTTCTTAAATCAACGGCTCTTTTCAGAGCCACCCACTTTGTTCAAAGAGAGCTGTAACTCTCACTTATACCTAATGACACCCAAGACGTAAATCGCAACTTTTAAGTCTTAGGTCTATGTCTTTCAAAAGTTTACAGGTTCTTTTTCAATTACTTGGACACGCCCAGGACTCCCCTACCTAATCCAGCGCGCTTCTGATAAGACTTGAAAGTACTTTATTGGGCCTGGAATCCGTTAGCGAATTTCAAAGGAAGAGCTTCCTTGGTTTGGGGAAGGGAGTTCCGGAGTGAGGGTAGGAAATGTAGGGAAGTTTTGCTTCTAGAGCTTTGGCTAGCTATGCAAATTCTGTACTGGACCATAGAACATAAGTGAGTAGAACTGCTTTTCCTGAGGACCTCAGTGGAGTATACCTGCAGTTCTCTGAAGAATAGAGATTATCGATTTCGCGTTATGGTTGTTTACTGACGCTGACGATTACACCGAAACCATGCAAAGTTTTCTCGCATCACAGAAATCGTGGGCCGCTTTCTGCTTGGTACTGAAGGCTAGAATGGAACGAGTGTTGTCTGGACTTCAGAGGCGGACAAAGGGTTTGAATTTCGCGCCTTTCTGAGTCTTGCGCCACTTAATGGGGAGGGAAACGGGTTTCTTCTACAAGCCTTCTCAAGAATCCGAGACTCCATGAATAATTGCTAGAAAACCGGGAAGAGCACTGGGTGAGTCAGTAGGAGCTTGTCTGGGTCTAGCGCAGAGGGAGGAGAAAAATGGTGTGTGAGTGAGGTGGTGATGGAAAGGGCTTCCTATGAAAATGAAATAGTTCCAATAAGCCTGTGAGCACCTTATGCAGTCACATTCAGCAACGCGGTTAAAGAAAACTCGAAAGTGGATTAAAAAATTAAAAAGATTAAAAAATTTTCTGGATGGCACACAATATGTTAATAAACCACTGTGTAAGAATAGTTTCAGTGTACACAGTGCTGCTGTGAAAGGCTTGGTTTAAAAATCAATGTCCTGAATTGTAAAACTCCCCTCCTCTAAGGATAAAGAAGGCCAGGCTGCAGTCTGACACATTGTTGGTCTTCCTCTGGGTGAAAATCTTAATAGTAGTATTGTTTCTTAACATTTTTGATGTGATCTGTTGAAGTAGGGATTATTTTCTCTCCAGGTTGTCTTTCATGGCTGTTTTGCTTGCCTGCTCCTTTCTTCTTTTTGTAATAAAGTAACAAGAATATTTGATGTTTACTAAAATTGTACCTTTGACAGGCACACACCAAGACTCAGGCCTCCTAAGATCAAAGCTTGGCCTTTCTGTCATCTATACTGATATTCAATAAGTGCATGAAGTGGTTTTTTTTCCCCCGCTCTCAAATAATGGTTGTTTTCTGGGGAGTGGTGAGAAGTCAGAAATATTTGTAAATCTTCCAGTCCATCCTCATGAGGCATCACCTTTAGACACAGTCCTTCGGGGGGCAATCCCAGGAGCCTGAGTGAAACTACAAGGTTTTATACACTTCCTTCCATAATAAACTCCCACATTTTCTCCATAGCTGCCGTCTCTGTTACTATAAAAGAGAGAAAACCCAAGTATAATGTTCTTGGTTCTCCTTCAGGTGAGGGAAACATTTCCTTCTATCCAACAAAGAAGATGAATAGTAAAAAGATGAATAGGAAGAGCTGAATTTGTAAAGGGACTTGTATTTGGCTGAGCTCTGGATGACTGAAACTAAAAGGAGCGGTCTTGAGAAAATTTTTAGAGATTAAAAGAATTTGGAAAAGAAAAGGCCTACAAAGATATAGATGACAGAAGGTCCAGGGACTACTTATGATTTGGGAAAGAACATAGTCAGGAGTTGAGAACCGTCCTGGACCTCGTTCATGTAAGTGGGAAGGCACAGACTTCTCAGTTCTGTCTTTGGCATCTCTCAGCAATGTTCATATGTTTTTCCTGTCTTCATTTCCATTAAGTAATATACATGTTTAAATAAGGTTGTTTTATAAAAAGTTTCAGGAAAAATAATGACCTCCTTATTGCTTAAAAATAACCAACGTGAGTAGTAATTTCAAATACATACTGATGGGTTTCAGGACAAGTACCCCAAATAAGACACCATGATATTTGAGACGATAGTAGAAGAGTGCTTCTCTTCTGACAGAGGGTATAAAGGAATTCTCTAATCTTCTCTTGAAGCAGGTACCCTCCAAATAACTGAAGTAAGGAGCTTGAAGACATAGGGCCCTAACAATGAATAAACAGGTCTTTCTACGTCCCATGTTGTGTCACCACTGGATCATAATCCTTTGTCGATCACACTTCATAGCTATCCAGTTCTTCACCAAATTTAACTTAAGCATGCATGTATTTCCTTGGATATTTGTCTCTGAAGTCTACATTGTTATATAAATGTTATGTTAAGTACATTTGTGTGCTTGTCTTTGATTTGTCTGATAGGAGCTTCAGCCATAAACCTTGTGATGAGTGAAGAAAAAATACATTTTTTCTCCCCTAAAAATTAAAAATCAACTGTAATTCCACCATCCAGGACATTTTGGTAAGGAATCTTTCAAAAATGTTACTATATAAACCATAAATGAAGATATAAATATATTACAAATGAAGATATATAAATAAATGAAGATATATAAATAGTAAGTGAATGAGAGACAAGTTTTGCTTTTTATTATCTTTAAAATTTAAATAAAGAATTTAACTTTCATAATAGTACTTCATTGTAGGGGTACATAATTGGCTTTTTTGACTTTCCATTTTTTAGAGTTATAAAATGTGTTACCATGACAATACTTTTTGATGCTTCGGTACATACTTAGGAGATTGCTTTAAGGGAAATAACAGAGGTGGCTTTTATAGATCAAGCAAAATCTATACAATATTTTAAAACGTATCTCCAAGTTGCTATCCTGAAACTTTGTGTACACTCACCAGAGAATGCTGACTTCTATAAATATTCTTAAACAATGAGTATTGTCAGTCTTTTAAACCTTTCCAAATGAGAGACATGATAGTTAAATCTTATTTTTATTTTCACTTTGAAACCAATCATTTGAGACTATGCATTTAGATAGTGACCCTTCTTCTATTATTTGATTGCTCGTGCCTCTTTGTTTCCCTGTTGGAATAGTGTTGTATTTATGGTCTTTTACAGAGATGGTTTCCATGTGTTAATAGCTTACGTTATTGATACAGGAGAAATACAACTCCCGACCTATTAGATGTCAAATGTGCTGAATTTGTGGTCTCACAACATCAAGGAATGAAATTCCTAACCAAAAGACAAAGTTAGGAGAGTTTTACTGGAAATAAGGAAAAGGAGACTAGCTCTTGGATTTTCACGAGGGGTCCTGAGTAGGTGGGCACCGAGGCCTTTTCTCGGGTAATTTATACAACAAAATGACAACATGGGTATAATGTGGGTCTAACTACAATCAACCTATAAGATTATAAGTATAGCTGCTTAGGTAATATTGATCCAATGGGAAACAAATCACATAGCAAGGGTACATGGAAAGAACAAAGGCATTTTGGGGAAGTAGAGTATGGGCCTGATGTTCTGTCACTCACCTAAGTGATTGATGCCAACCTGGGCCCACTGGACCTGGTAGTGCTAGTTACAGGGTAATCTCAAGTTGCTGTTGACATTTCAGGCCTGGCTATAGCATCTCCATCCTAAGGCCTGGCTCTCGTCGTCAGTTCACCTCCAGCCACAATTCTGATGTCTATATATTTTTGTGCTAACTTCCTTGAGTGCCCAATCCTCTACACGGAGAATTTCTATCTAACTTCGCTGCCTATAATACTGTCATTATAAGTTACATTTTTAGGTTATTAACAAGTACCAATTCATTTAATCTTCACAAAATCTCAGTGAGGTATGAATAATATTCTTGTTTTACAGATTAAAAAAATGATATAACCACTTGAGTTCTATATACTTGATAATTTTTTGCTTAGTTTTTCTTTGAACAGCTGAGAGGGATGTTGAATTCTGTCTATAGTTGTGGTTTCTTTTATTTCTCTTTTCAATTTTTTTTTTTTTTACTTGGGTCCTTGTGCTTGAGCAGCAGGCAATGAAACCACTGAGCTAAATCCCCGGCCCTCTCTTTTCAATTTTATCGGCTTTTGTATACTTGTTTTGCAGTTCTGTTCTTTGGTACATCCTTAGACTTGCTTGTTTTTCTAATTGGTGTGGTCCTTTTATCATTATGTACTGTCCCTCTTAGTCCCTGCTCATTTTCTATACTCTGAAGTCTTCTTATCTGATACTAATATATATAGATACTCTTGCTTCCTTTTGGTTAACTTTGCAAGACTTGTCTTTTTGAATCTTTACTTTTAACCTATATTTTTAGTTATATTTGGAATGAAATTTTTCTAGACAGTTTATAGCTGGAATGCACATTTTTAATGCACTTGGATAATCTGTTTTTGAATTGGTATACTTATACCATTTTCACTTAGCACAACTATTAATACCATAGGGTTTAAAGTTGTGAACGATAGCACAGTATATCACTGTGGCATAGATTATTTTGAGTTAAAGGAAACTGAGAAGCAGATACAAGACAAGCTCTCTGCTCTCTCCCTAAGCAGAACATAAATTTACAAACATGTCCCTCCTCCTCTCTCTATCAGGAAGGACAAAAGTTAATTACTGGGAGACTTTAGACTTCTCAAGCAAGAGAAGGCACCAGAGGCATCTGCAATGTCCCTTTTGTTCTGTTAGTGTTAAGCCATCTGCTTACCATAATCTGTCACTTCTAGAGACTTGGTCTTTTTCTTATCTCGTCAGGATTTTATATTTTACTGCTCTTTGTCCAATATGCTGCTCAAATGTTCCTCTTCATCTGCTCCTTTGGGTGTTCATTTCTTAAAGGAGGCTCTCATATCATATAAAATATGAAATAAATGTTTTCCCTCTTGTCAATGTAGCTTTTGTTATAGAGGCCACAGCTATGAAGAAAGGAAAAGGCCAAAATGTTCTCCCCACCCCCAGGATTTGCCACGTTATTTTTGTTTTATAGTGTTTTTTGTTTTCTAATGTTCTCTGTTATTCATTTCTCTACTTCCAGCTTTC